GGAATTCTATCAGTTTTGCAATAGAATGTGACAATAACAAATGTCAGTAAGAGTTTTAAATAATAAAGTATCCAGTAAAAGAAAGTTTCTGAAGATTTGTGAACAAAAACTGAAATTTTTTTGGCCTTCTAACAGAACAGAAGTGCCTCTGCATTAGTAAAGATGTGCAGAGATAGGACTAGTTAAGGTGTGGAATACCTGAAGGCCAGATTTTGAGATGCAGTATTTACATCTAGCTCCTTTTAACAACAATCAGAAATGGAGATGGCTCAGCACATTCTAGTATTTTTCAAGGGCAGGCCTGGCAGTAGCATTTTTAGAATTTAATGGTTCAGGTAAAATCTTTATTTTACATCAAGAAATGCATCTGCAATAATTTAACTTTAGTCATCGTGTATAACAACAAACAATTATACAGACAGGCTGTTGGTTGTGTGCTTGTCTATGTTTGCACAGAAGTGCTGTGTAATTCACATGCACACAGAGTTCAAATCTCAAATTACAACAGCGTATTGACTACTATGTTTACATTTTTAATACAATACATCCTTCCAACGTTACTTCAACGTGCAGAAATTTTCAAACTAACATGTGAAAAACATTTCTGAAAGGCTGGCATAATAAAGCACTCTCTACAATTCCAGAGGAAGTCATCTTGTCTACAGAGTTTTGCAAAATCGAGAAAACTGCCAAGATTTGGCAATTTCAAAATTACTATGGACTTTCACAAATACTGTTCAAAGCCTTTTTCTCGGGTAACAATATTTAAAAAAGAAAATTGCTGGTATTTTATCACAGTTCCCACAAGATCTCTAGAAAAAAATCTGGGAAGAAACACTTGCAGTAGCATATTTAGTGTGCCCCTCACCCAACTTTATATGCATGTTGGAGTACCCATACACAGCTTTACAGCATCACTCAGTTCTCTATGATAATGCTCAGTCTCCCATAGTGAAATTATGCAAATTTCAGTGGGGAAAAAAAACCCCAAACCATAAATATTATAATTTTTTATTTTTAAAATATAATCTCACTTTAGTTTAGAACTTTGATAGCATATCCCAGTGCTTTCAGATTAATCACAGAATTATAGTTGCATATTGACTGTATTTATGTACAACCAAAAGCCTATAGTATTTGCACATCCACAACTCTATACCTTTGTAACTGAGAAAAGACTAAACAGACAAGACATAGCAGATTGGGTACTGAAAACCTAAATACTTAATTTTCAATATTTTAACTTTTATATTTCATAACATCCATTATACGGATGGTCACTAAATCAATCTGAATTTTCATGACAATATTTAGAGAGTTTATGGGAAATTTCAGTTTGCTACAGATAAAATTAATACATAGCCTTAATGAACACACTATACACAAGGTCTTTTTTTCTTAATTTGCACAAAATAAGAGCAAAAGTCAATGTAATTTTAAAGATGAATATGTATTTTTTCATACCAATAAATAATGTTATAAATCCTGCTGCACTGGATTGCAAATAACTTCAGCTGAACAAAACTGCATGACATGGGATCTACTTATCCTGTATGTTCACAGAAACAACTTGTTCTCTGACAGCACTCATTCTTGGCAATTTATTGCAGCTGTCAGCAGCCAATTTGTTCAGATTACTGCTGCGCACAAAGGTGTAACAATCATGAGGATTTATTAACTGATTATCGTAAAGGTGACAGTCAGAATCACCTTAACACAAATGATAAGGAATTTAAATAATTACATGACAATTAAAATCACTTCACCTTCATTTTGATCTTAATATTACCTACACAACCTTACTGCAGTGTATGTTTTTAATCACAGGAGCATACTGACTTGATACAGAACATAAATTACTTGTTCATAGCAAAAAGATGTGAACATTAAATGTACTCAGACTGTACAATATATATACACATACATACGTATTTCTACTTAACAGCTGAAACAACAAGTAATACTGCTTATGCAAGTCTACACACTTATTTGAATGCTGTGTGGCTTTAGCTCCTGGTGCTTTCCATAAAAAGAACTTCCTGACCTCACGTACTTGGTCTTGGAATGCTGGTTGTTTTTTAAAAAAATTATATTCAGAAGAATGCCAGTATTTCACTTCTGTAACATGAAGCTCAGTTGTGATCAAGACCAGTGTTTTCTCATACAAATCAGTACATGATTGGAAATATATTTTCCTCAAGGCTTTTGAATGAGGTCTTTTCTCAGGATTTTGAAATCTCGAAATAAACACTGAATTGGTTCCAGGGTTTGGGATTTTTTTAGAATATTCTAAGATGGAAGTTCACAAGGTGCTACAGCCTTTGAACTCTAATGGAGAATGCACACAGCTGAAACTCAAATGAATTTTATAAACCCATAGCGCTCCAAGTTAAGAATGGAAATTAACCCGTTAGCATTTCATTTCAGGAACTGCCATTTTGAATGTGCGTGGGCATCAAGATGAAGCCAGAGCTTTATGCTACTTATGCGACAGACGTTCTCTTCTCCTTTTCTCAACTAGGATGAAATGCCATTACTTTCACCCTCTTAACATCTTCCTCTCTCTTACAAGCTACCCCTTCCACTTCTGTCCTCCTGTTATGTCACCCCAAAACCATAATCTCAATTCCATGTCTTCAGGCTTCTTGAACATTTTTCCTGCATCTTCTCACCCTCAGAAATATATAGCAAACCCAAGCCCTCGCAATCTGAGCACACATGCTGTTGCCACTGTGTCACAATCCCAGCTTTCACCTGGTCCTTACCATGCTCTAGCCTAACAAGTACAACGATATACAAGGTCCACAGATGCCTATGTCCCTGAGTCCCTACTTCTTCTGTTTCCCAAAAGTGCAGCTGAAACATGGTATTATTCCAGGAGAGTTTATGGCATTCTGATTTGGAATAGAATTTGCCGGTAACTGAGCTCAGCAGAGTTAAAACACAGGTCTCCTGCACTATTTTCCATGAAGATCCTGTAATTTGGCCCTTCAACCTTACACCTGGGAAACCTTTTCTTCTGTTTTCTCAATTTGGTTTGTTCTTTCCCTCAATGAATAGGATCTATTCAGTCAAGTGTGCCTTCTCCCTAACTATTCTTTGGCCAAGCAGGACATCTTCAAGAAACAATTGTTTTCATTTGCATTTAATAGAAATATTCTTATATAATATTACAGCTGCTGCATGCACATTATTCAAACAAGAAGATGAAAGGAATTACTCTCCATTCTTGACTAATGCTAGAATGCTACCACGAAGTCTTTTGCTTCCCTCCCACAGCCTCATTATCACTTCTTCTGGAATATGAATTAAAATATACATGTGCCTTGAGAGCCATAGAGCCTTAGTCATGGAGCACAACTCAGTCATGCTTTTAAAAATTAACCTACATTTATCATAAGACACACACACAAAGAGCAAGTCGTAATGTGTGCACCAAGGTATTTCCAGTTTTTCGAAGCAGCCTTTAAAGGAGAAATTGGGAAAGAGAAGTCAGTGTTAAATGGAGCTGTCAGGTGTTGGTGATTTTTATTCACAATGACCGGAAAAGAATATCAGGGAGGGGAAATATTAAGACCTATTTTTGTATTCAGATTGAGCTTGACAAATGACGGTTTTTCATGGAAATCTTCATGGGAAGGAATTTGTTTGCAGGTTACATTATCCAGAGATAAGGTACCAACAGAAGGTGAAATGAGAGAGTATCTGAAAGGACAAATTTAAGAGGGACTATACATACACTGACAGAGAGGTTACAAAAATCAAGAGCAGCAAGATTTCAGCAAGTACTGCTTGGATGATGGTGTTATGAAAAATCACACTTGAAAGCTTCACCATCTTTTGGATAAGAAGGTAAAATAATGAAGAAAATAGGAATAATTTCCCAAGGTATATAATATGTCAACATAGGACTAAATGATTACACCAGTTCAGAAAAACAGTTATTGCTACCATATATGTCATGGAGTTTCATCATATAAAATAAAATCCTACTCTGCATATTTTTGAAAAGCGTTTTTGTCGATATTAAAGTTTTTTGCTTGCAACAGACTCTGTACACATTTGGAGTTTGCAGAATTTATAGTAAGAAATAAGCTGAATAATATTATTCAGCTCACCTAATTTGATAAACAAAGCCATTAACTTAAATAGAACACAAGGGAGGAAAAGGTCAGTAGAAACATTGCCATATTGACAACAAAAATACATGGCTTGGTCTGTGGGATTTCCATTCCTGATTTTAATCACAAAAAAAAAAGTATTCTTGCTAGTTAACAGTATCAATGCCCTAGTGAAAGCACCTACAACCAATACTCTCACAAACAACCAAAATATATAGGATTAATAATTATTAATCCTATTATAATGACTGTATGGATATCAATGAAAGTATGATGTAAAAAATATCTGAGCTTTCCAAATAGCAGCTACTTCATAGAACCTAAAAGCACAAACAGTTTTTTCCCGATTAGCTACCAGTTAATGCCACTTCCTACTCTTTGAAATAGCCACACAAATACATACTATTTCTTTTCCTGAATATAAATTAGGTGAATGATCTTATTTATTTGCCCCAAAAGATATGTGCAGTCTTTCACTACTCTATTTTCATTTACCAAATAGATTGATACATAAATTTGGTCTTATGCATCTATTACAAGTCAAAAGAGTTATTTCTCCTCCAAACTGTATGTTGCTGTATGGAACCTCCTGCATCTTGGTAATTGCTCTAAATGGGGGATTTTTTTTTTTTTTTAAACCTCAATCTATTAATTGGTAAAAGCTGCCATCTACTGGTCAGTAAAAATTATTTTACATCAAAGTAAAGAATTACATCAATGCAGCAAACTGTACTGGGACATTGCAGAAAATTCTCCCCGAACTTTAAAAAAAACAAACCACACAACAAAAGCAAGACCAAATGGTCATAAGAAATAGTTTCAACAGTAAGGCTCATTTTAATGAGCCCCAGGGAACAAGAAGGCTGGAATTGAACAAACCTGCCAATAAAATCATCCTTTTTGCCAGCATCTTTGTCCCACACTGTAATATCAATAATTCCACCTCGTTCTTCATAGAGATGAAAGTCAAACTGCTCCCTCCACTGAGGATTCAAAGTTTTTGGCACAATCTGAAAGGAGATCAAAAAAGAAAGTCATATTGCATAGTGTAGGCACACACTTTCTTGAACTGTAGATTTGATCTTTAGACTCTGTTCAGGAAGTTTTTTTCTGTCTGCAGTATCAATATCTCAAGCAGGGAGAATTAAAAAATAGTATAATTAGGAAAAGACTATTGGCCAGTTCTCTCATGCCTCTCTGACTTAACAGCAACCTCCAAAATCCTGCAACCTGTCCACCTTCAAAAGCCTCCTGAACAAACGATTTGCCCTGGGAATGGAGCCATTTCTCTGTAGAATAATTATGTCCTCTCTTAAGTGACAGCTGTAAAGTTGTGCCTCTGAGCCCAAAAGAAAACAAAGCACTTGCAATGACAAGTAGATGGTGACTGTATGTACTTAAACAAACAATTTTATCATGTCCTTTTTCCCAAGCTGCAGTGATACTGGGAGAAATACGATACTATGGTTTACTTTGTATGGAATAAAATTTTTTTTTTCCAAAACTGTATTTTACTTCCTTTCATTTAAAACCCAGATGAAAGCAGCTTTCTCAATCATTTTCAGTCAGGTTACTTCTGACTTCAATGGATTTCAGTCCATGTACTTCTGACCACACTGTGCAGAACGAAAAGCTTACAGATTTTTCTACCAAAATGCAAAAACAGCATTCACAGTAGTCACACGTGTCCTGAGCAAGAAACAGTCTAGTACCTTCCCTATTAAGGAAACACTACTTCTTACACCCACCAGTTCTAGTGGCTTGAAACAACAGAAAATTCAGAGAGGATTATGAAAATTTTTTATTCACAAAAGCATGAAATTTGATTTCTTCTAATTTCAGATTAAGAGGCACTAATGCAGGTTCAGAGCTCTGCAAATACAGCAACTAAATGTTCCTGGCTTCTTCTTCAATTTCTCCTTCGTCTGGCTGTGAAAACCACAGTGGTCATCATTGCTGTTGAGAGAGGAAGGTCATGTGCATCATTGGTGGTCCAAGCATCTTCCATAAACAGCAATTTTCAAAACAGTAGGGACCAGGGGAATAAAAAAATAATAGCAAGAAAGCCAAGAAAGTTCCCACATAAATTGTCTCCCTGATTAATTCTCTCTACCTATGAAGTTCATACATAAAGAAAATTTTAATGAAACTTGCTGTAAGGACACAAAGAGGAAAGTGAGAATATAAGCACGACATGATTTGAGGATAAGACAATGCAAAGGATCCAAGAAGCAACCAGCATCAAGCCTGGAAAGTAGTTGTCACAATCACTCTGCATCTCTCCCCTCTCATGAATGACTCCTGCAAGAAATAAAAGCCAACACAGTCTGTACAGAATATCAGGTGTGCCCTTTGGTACACCCAAATTTTTCAGTGCTACATTTTCCCCCACCTAGTACTACTTTTGTTTATAATGACATAAAAAGAAACATTCAAACAAAGCTCCAGGTGCTCTGGTAACTGATTATTACAGGAATATATCTCCATCACTACTGAAAGTCATAAAAGGTAAAAAACCCCAAACAGGAATGAAGCATTTCAAAAACATTTTCAGTCACAGCTAAAATTACCTTGCTTTTGTACTTCTGATGCCCCAGTCGGAACTTCACATATGGATCACTTAGTCCATTTGCATCCATTGCCTTAAGTTCACGACCTTCTATTAAGGTAACACTAACTATTCCTCTCCATAGCTGAGACTTTCTGTGCAGGTCTGAGAGACGTAAGCTCTGGGTCTGAAACTTTAGGGAAACAAAAGTATAAGTTTAGTTTATACAACTCCAAAAATTTCCCCTGTTTTTCAATGTTCAATTTCACATAACCAGGAATTTAAAACAACCACTTTAAGCCATTTTGAAGTTACTGGATAATACATATGTAAACAATACTGCATAGAATAACTTGGAAAGAAATAAAACAGTGACAATTAAGCAGATAATGTCATATAATGCTTTGAAAGAAGCAAGCAGAACAAATGCTACTTAAGGAAATGTGCATTAAAACAAAAAGGTGTTTTTTCTGCTTCACTTCTCCCTCTGCTGATAAGAATACAAATAAATGTTGCAAAGTCTCTTCTATTAGTAGTATATGACTGAATGAACTTGCAGAAACATTAAAATAAACAGAAAAAAACAGTGACAATACAAAACTTCCATTGGAATAATATAAATTCCTGTATCTCAGCCTCTAAAAAGACATGGTATTCTCAGAAACATTCATTAAATACCACCACATAAGTTCAAGAGTTTCTAAACAATGTTGCAGAACCTTTGTTCAGAATCGTGCAGAAACTTGCAGACTGCAAACCCTTGGCCACAGATTTTGTGGGTTAAAAGAAAATTCACACACAAAACAGTTGGTTCATTTCGCTAATAAACTCCACTAGGGGTTGGGAGAGCAAGAGGCTATAAACTCAAATAATTTAAGATCATCTCCAGTTTGCTCTGACCTACAAGGTATCAGAACTGGGGAATCACCTGTGCACTCCTTAAGAATGCAAATGTGTCTTGGGTGCATCTGAGAAGCAATGTTGCCAAAGGCTCTCCCTTCTATTCTGAAAGTTTATTTGTTCAAGGTTACTTTATCTATAATCAGAACACTGGATAGCTAAACAATATTTAATCTCGCAAATTATTCTTTCTAGGAATCAAAAAAAAGCTAGTCTTTATATATACGCTGGTGTAAATATATCAAATATATGCATTTTCTTCATTTTGCAATATAGTTTGGGTAACAAAAGCTTTATGAGCTCAGCAATCACGCCTGCATGGCTGGCTTCATCATTTGCAGACTGCCAGTACCCCTGGAGGAGGTCTTCAGTGCAAATCTGGTTTGAGTCTTTTAGACGGTAAACACAGCTGGATGGTTACAGTTGTGCAGGTGTCCCTGGCAGAATTTTACCTTATTACCCAGAGACAATGATAAAAAGCAGATTGGAGAACAATCCCTGGATTATAACCTGCACTCACCAGAGAGAAGTATTATACATGAGGACTGAGGTCAGTGGGGTTGGAGCAAATCTGATTAACATGCTTTTTGCAGCATTTCAGATATTTTATTGGCATGGATTTATGTTTTCAAATGGTTATTCATCCCAAATAGCATGGTTACTCCCAAAAAATTTCACTGCAGAGAAACGTCTCACAAACCTACTGTTTCTACGAAGGCAAACAAGGAATAACCTTTGGAATAACCTTTAACTTAACATGTGACAGCAGTGGGACATCAGAAAGCAGACACTCTACAAAAATTAGTGCACAACTGGGAAAATCACTTGCCAGAGAAGATACTTCATTTACAACTTGAGAACACAACATAAACTAAAACTTTTTCTTGGCACAAATACCCCTTTCATTGGGGGAATACAGGCTATATTGCCAAAGACCTGACTTGAGAAGAAGTGGTAGATTTTTTAATTCTTGTTCCAGTTTCTTAGAAGGCTTAGAGCAAAAGAAATACTGGAGAGTAAATAATCAACAGTGACTCTACCCTGAACATAATGCGATGAGAGTACAGAAAGAAGAAAAGACCATGCATGTTTAGGAATATATTTATATTGGGATAGATGCAGTGACTGAGACTTACTTTGCAAAAAACCACACAATTCTTGGGGGTTTTTTGAGAGCTGAGTGGGTATCCACATGATTTTGAGGATACTATCATGGAAAATAAGCTTGAGTTTGCATTCACAACTCTTTTGACGTAAACCTTAAGCACCACAGCATCGCTGTCTACTTCACTGATCACCAATGAGACACTGAATAATTTAGAGAGTATATTTGATCTGAATTCCATATTTTCAACAGCTCTTAAAATAATTTGCTGCATTAGAGCACCTGCCACCTTATAAAGCATGCTGGATTTTTATGACCAGTAGGATGTTTCATAACTAGTAGGGGGTAATTTACATAAAAGGTGGCAAGGCAAGATCTAAATGCCCAAGAGCTGGAGGTAAAATGACAGACAGGTAAGACAGGAGTTTACAGGAGCCCCGAGAACAACCATTCACATGCTGCTGGAGGAAGCCCTCCTGAGTCAAAGACACATTCTGTGGTCAACAGCAATCAAAGCACCTTGCACAGCCCAGTAGTGTTCACTGACAGTGAAGCTGCAGAGCCTATGTCTCAACATGCTGGAAGAAAAGCAGCAGCTACCAAAAGAGGTATGGGTTGGTTGTGACTATTTCTTCTTCAAGGTAGGAAATGCAGACCACAACAGCGCTCTTTTCTTTTTTATCAGTAACACACAGATCCAAGGCACAGCAAAAGGGAGATGTACTGGAAGTCAGGGTACAGTTCACTGGAGCTAAAGCTATTGAGATTTCCTGGACATGAAAGGCATGGGCTATGTGGCCTTCTCCAGCAAGAATAATTTCCAGCTGGCACTTTTCTTGTTTCCAAGCAAGACTGAAGACCATCCAACATGCTTTCCTTCCAGTCAAAGTCACATTTATCCTCAGAAATTACATATACTAACATAACCTCTCATTTCATATAATGGTTCTTGTAGGAAGTTAAAATGAAAAAAAAACAATGTTTAGATTTCAAGTCAAATTTGACAAAAAAGCTAAGAGATAAAAAAAATGAAAAAGCAAGACTGATTTCACCTTTTAGAGTTCTTCCCTTATGAACTCAATGTCACAGTGTGAGACAGGTACATTTCTAGGTACATTTTTAGGTAGCTAAGAAATCGTCTGTAAAATCCAGCCCAAATTGAGTTGACTACAAAGTCAGAAGGGAATCCACGAGAATAAAACAAAGAAATGAGTCTGTATCTTTCTCAATTTCTCCTATGAAGGATGTTTCTCAAGAGTAATTCTTAAGTAACTTTTTTCCCTCAGCAAGCATGTCATGATTATTGCTGCCTGGATTCACTCTTCTGACACAAACAGAAAAAACGTCACAAAGAAACCACACAACCTTTCATTTATCTGTAAATAGGTAGGAAGTTACATATTTCATATATAATGCCAAAACATGAAAAGAAGCAAAGTCAAAATCTCAGTCCATAATCAACTGTCATTAATGTGGGATTATTATTCACATTATTCACATTTTTGAGAATTTATATGCAGGATACAGGCATGGCAACTCCTGTCTGACATGTTCTAAACACACCAAAGAGAGAGGGGTGGTGGGAAAGTTGCAGCCTGCATGCAGTGAGGCTTTCACTCTCCCAAAAAGGAAATTAAAATTTGACTTCTGAAAAGGAATCTTTCACATCAAAGGATGCTTACAGCTACCTGTGAAAGAAATACCCACATATTTTCATATCCACACACTGCGCTTTAATGCTTCTACTATAAAGAGCATGCAAACCCAGCACCTTCTGATGTGATAAACTTAGCTTTTATTTGTGTTCCACTTATTCTGTCTAAATGTAGAGCAGTGGGTGGGCTAGGGGCATTAACAGCAGAAAATCTGATACAGAACTGTCTGTAGGTTTCATATAGTTAGCCAAATGTCAGAGCTGAAAAATAACCTTATAACATGACTCAATGTTTTGCATGTATTCATGTATATCTGGGTAACATTACTGGGTGGGAAACCAACTAGGGTTAGTCAGAATCCGGGTATTTACCTCAGGTTCATCAAGACCACATTCTCAATGAGTTAGTGTTACTTTCATCAAAAGAAGAGATGCATTTAGTAGTTTTCAAAATCCCCTAAATATTTACATTTATCTTTGGGTATCTAAGTGACCTTTGGAATTTGAGCCCATACTGAGCTGGAGAAACCCCATGCATTGTCCTCTCCCAGCACGACCTCACTTCTTCATTGATCAGCCCTCATGCCCTGCAAAGTACCACCTAACTCACTGGCATGTGCTTGTGCCCATGCAAACAGACACTGCTTTTGCAAAATCTCCTCCTTGGTACACACACCACTAGGACACACTGCTCTTCTGTGTCCTTGAACACAACAGATAAAAATAGAAGTGTGCCTACCACGAACTTACTAAAAAGTTTTAAAAACCAAATCAATAATGCAGCTTTCTGTCCTGCAATGGCATCTCTATCCAAAAAATAACTTTGGCTTGGAAGCTTTAAATAAAATACCAATCAAGAAACTAGTGAAAGAATATAAAAAAGAACAATACTTCTCTCCATCACTGAACAGAGGACAGGTGTACAAATACAGCAAAGTGAATCAAAGCCAGTGTCACAAATGACTGTTGCAAATTCAAGTAAACAGAATTCTTCTCCCCCAGTTTCTAGGAGGCTTACATGACTTGGATAAAACATGTAAAATAAAGATTGAGAATATCAATAGATAGAGCCACTAGTTCTATGTACCACACGATGAAAAAACCAAGGGACAGTCACGTGCATTTGCAATGCTTTTCCTATATTAGAAACTATATACAAAGTATGACACCTTGCAGAAGTCATCAACATACAGACTGAGTTACAAAAATGCCATCAGTGGGATCATGATGATTCCTTCTTAATGTTTGCTCATTGTGACTAAACTGGTTTTGTAAATTGACTACTACTGATAATGACTGCAATATGAATAAACATTTCTCTTAATTTTCTATCAACTAAATTTAACATTTTAGGATATTTTAACCGTAAGTGAAGCTTATAAAAATTTTTGTTGTTGTGAAATTTACACTGCCCTGTGCCCTGTGTATTTTCATTATAATTCCCATGTTAAATCTGGTTTATGGTGTTTGCTCTAACAACTGGATACTGCCATTGTAGAGCAACGTTGTCATGACACTACAGTAACAAGAGCTCACACTTTTGCAGCATTTCATATATTTTTGTGGGGGTTTTAAGTGGAATAATTTGGCTTAAGTCCACTTGCCAGAGGCAGCTCAGGTGTAGTATGAAGGAGGCTGTGGCACTCACTCTGACCTGCATTTTCTGGGAAAGAGTGGAAATATTTATAGAGGACAACAGTGTGCAGAAGGAGCTGTCAGAGAGGCTGTGCCAGTACAGTCCTAACCTTCTCCATTGTCCTTCTCCCAGTAATTCCTCTTGGAAACTGTGCCTGCAATATGTGAAAGTCAATGGGTCTCCTGATGATCCTGTTACTGCCCTGGACAACAAGTGTCACCGAGTCCCAGTGCTGATGTGAATGTGATACACAGAAGGACAGTAGCCACCAATACTTTATGGAAACTCCCTGTACTTTTGTAATTTCTGGAATGAACCCAGAAACCCCCATGCCAAAGTGTTACTATGCTGATTTTGTTGTTAACTAGGTCAGCTGTTATCACTCACATACAATTAATGCAAATGTAAGCCTCACCAAATATTTGCATAATTTTTATAATCACATGTCTTGCAGACAGGCGTACCTATTCTGACTTTTCTACTTCTATTTCAATATATAGTAGCTCTCCTTCAAGCACCATTTACAGCTGATAAACTGACATCTAGAACATCATGGCTTACAAAAAAAAAGTATATTTTCTCAGTTTTAAAAGATTCTTCACAAAAACCCAAATGCAGGAATTCTACCATCTATTCTGAAATTCCGGAGAATTTTGGCTGAAAGATTCTGGTTGAAAGATTGAACTGACTGTAAATTACTTGAATTAAGAAATATCATACAACTCTATACTTATGTTTGTCTCTGCAACACTTATACCATGATTTGCTATTTGCAGTTCTATTCTCTACTCAAGAGACATCTAATTTCAGTGGAAAAGCATTTTGTTTCAATTTTAAAACAGCAAAAAATGCTTCATAAGGCTTTTGGTATTAAGAAAATGCAAATCAGGAGCCACAGAAAGTAAATATTTTGAGTCGGGGATAAAAGCATCAGTTATTAAGGCCATAGGTCTTGGTATTTAGTTTGTGCAACTGGAACACACATATTTTCAGAAAAGCTTTCTAAAAGAAATTTTTAAAACAGTCAGCAGTTAGGAGCTGAAAGCCATACATTTTGCAATTCATTCTTGCTTAAAATGTTCATACATTCTATTTTTCAGTTTAAAACTATATGCAAAAATTTCTAAAGCTGAATTAAAGCAAATATAGTTATCTAAATGCAAATTAAAAATCAATTTTATTCACTTGCTTTAGGCAGTAAACGCATGTTTTTATGCCCAATTGTAACTAATCAGAAGTAGCTTCTCAGTTGTGACTAAGGGGTGCCCAGGTGAACATCAAGAAGTTCAACAAGGCTAAATGGAAAGTCCTGCATCTGGGTCCAGGTAAACCCAAGTACAAATTCAGGCTGGGTAGAGAACAGATTGTGAGCAGTCTTGAGGAGAAGGACTTGGTGGTGTCGGTAGATAAGAAGCCCAACATGACCTAGTGATATGTTGCTGCAGCCCAGAAAGTTAACTGTGTCCTGAGTTGCATCAAGAGAAGTGTGGCCAGCAGGTTGAGGGAGGTGATTCTCCCCCTCTACTCTGCTCTGGTGAGACTCCACCTGGAGTATCAGCTCGGAGGCCGATTTGCAAAAATGCCACTACTGAATGAAAAGTTATGAAATGAATGTAACAGAGGAGAACAGGAATAAATAATTCACTTGAAGAGCTGTGAAGATTTCCCAATTATCATGTTGTGCCATTCATTCAGGATTATTGAAGCTCATAGTTTCGTCAATTTGTAATCTGAAGTATGAGAACAAACATATATTTAGCACATCAAGAGTTAACATATCACTGTCATGATGGAAAACAGTTCACCATTCTCACAGCTCTTCCTTATCTCTTCAGGAGTCTGAGCACCTTAGATATTTCATGAAGTTACATGAACCATATGAGAATCAAAATACTATACATCATCACTTCACGAAATATCTTTGCTTCTGAAATTTCAAACAGGAAACAGAGATAGGGTATTGTCCTGCATCCAGAAGCAAACTGTGAAAAACCCATCCATAACCGAAGAATCATGAACACTGCTCGCTTTTACTATTTAAAGATTAAAAAGTGTGCAAATATTTGTCAAGTGAGCAGCATATACAACATCGTTTGTTAACAACCTTCTGTTTAAATTTGTGCATCAATATGCTAGAAAAGCAAATAACTTTACAAAATAAGTCAATCATTCCACATAGCTATTTCACTTTTTTTTCTCATTTTAACACCTTTATATGGTAACATCTCAAAAAAACCCAGATCTACCACACCAACTCGAAATTTCAAGAAATTTCAATTTTATTTTTATCAATACAAATAGTAAGAAGGCTTAAAACTTTTAAACAGAACGGTAGCATTAGGTAAGACTGGCCAGAAAACTACTAAGAAACTATATACATTTTCTTTATCTCTTCGGAGACACATACAGCAAAAAAGAAAGGTAAAAACTGGTTGTATTCCACTATAGTAAAACTCTCAGCATTTCCCCTGTGGAAAAGAGCATACACTGCTCCTTTTTTATCAGTTCCTAAGAGGGGAAAAGCCAGATACTGAATTTGCTTGAAGAGGCATCTAAAGAGCTCTATAAACTGGACACCAAGAATGATTCCTTAAGCATTCTGCTCTTTTAAACTGTGGCTATGACTGTCACCCACGGATGACTAGCATCACTGTGAAAACAGCACACAAAACCTCTAATGAGTAAGTAATAAGAAAATCAAAGTTATCCTGTTGCATGAATTCCTTGTTCCCATTAACAAAGGAAATTGTTTATACGTGGGAAATAAAGATTTTAGAAAAGGAATCAGGACATGTCGGCCATTACCAGATGACTTCAAGATAGGTTAAAATGCTGTAACTAAGTTGACAGGTTTTATGATTACATTAAAAAAACTGTTTCATGATTTTGATTTGATGAAACAAAAAACAAGGTCAACAAAACACATTTTGAAGGACAATGAATCCTGTGCCAGAAGTTTACAGTCCTAGATGACATGTTTGGTAAAACATCATAGTTGTTCCAAAAAAAAACTCACAAAAAAACAAACAGCCAGAAGACCACATGCCAAAAATAACAGTTACCTTACTTGATCTTTTCCAACTCTTCCTCATTAGCATTGTCTGAAAATAAAATAAAGCATTTTAATTACCTTTCCTCTGCAATACAGAACAAGAGGCCAACTGTCTCGAACAGGACAATTCACATTTAACCACCACTACAACTGAAACAGCAACAAGTACAATTCAGCAACAGATACACAAGCCTGAAACAAATCCAGGCAAGTAGCAGCCCTTTGCACACCCAGGCACACTTTTCTGGGTGGTCTGAAAATCTCATTTCTAGAGACAATGCATTATGTGAACTTGTAAGAAAGAAAGACAGAAAAATAGAATTAGATAAGCAAATGGAAAAAAATGAATGTGCCATTACTGACAGTGATTACAATTCTGACTGATACTTGAATAGTAGTTTTTTTTAATAATAAGGTTCTCCATTTTTTTGGAATGCTACTGTTTAACTTGTAAGTGTAGCCACATAGAAATCCCGCATCAGGGTCCTTTGATAACATCAATCTATTACAAAATCCTTAAAGTTACCACTGTTAGTTCATTTCACAGCAGCAAAAATATGTCTTAGTTTGGTAATTACACACATGAGGGAGAAAACAAAGTTATACCTTCACTCAAAAAATCCCAAATCTCAGTTGCCCTGTCCCATTACCTAAATAACCTGTAAAACCTTGGCACTACTAAACACCATGTTGTGACATGCTGAGAGGCAAAGTGTCCACAGATAGATTCTAAACATTAAATAAAGGAGACATACTGGTCAAGTGGATCGGGGACGATTTATCTGTGAACACAACTGCTGCTTAAGCAGCTCTGTGGAAATGCAGAAAAATTACTTTATGCAATTTAATAACATCTAACAGCCTGATATTGACACTGAGCAAGAATAAATCAAAGAACATTAATTCCTTTTGAAACTTTGTCATGAAAAGTAAATATAATGTTTCTTTTTATTAACTATTGCAAAACCACTTTTTTTTCAGAAAATGGAAATAAATTTTGAAATGCAAACATTTTCCTCACTAATAAATTAAATTATATCATGGGGAAAAATTAAAATGAGAAAAAAATATGTAGGATTTATATGTTTGAAATATCCAGAAATTTTTCAAATAGACACAGCTTTTTGGGAGAAGAAAAACAACAAGTTGCTGAGGACGCTTTTAAGTTGCTATGGACAGTTAAAACCCAAGGGCTTTGCTATAAGTTAAGGATAATTGTAGCACTGTGGCTTTGGAAAATATACACAGATACTAAACGCTTCATAAAGCTGGAGAAAACCCCTGAATTAATTTTTACAGAAGAAGCACGTAAGAATTAAGCAGCCTGAGGCCCATAGAAGGCTCTGATGAAAATCTCTGAGTTTCTGGGTCCTGTCCAGCACAACATAGCTTCTCTCTTCCACACCATTTCTGAATCCCACACAGCTACAAGTCAGAGCACAAACTCAGTTTCACTAGTCTTCAGACCAGGCTGTTAGCAAGGAAAAGAATATGGCCCAACAGCTGAATTGCCTATGTAGGTTTAGATTAGATACCAGGAAAAAATTCTTCACCATGAGGGTGATGAGGCACTGAACAGGTTGCCCAGAGAAGTTGTGGCTGCCCCATCCTGGCAAGTGGTCAAGGCCAGGTTGGATGCGGTCCTGAGCAACCTGGTCTAATGGAAGAGGTTGGAACTAGATGATCCTTAAGGTCTCTTCCAAACCAAACAACTCTATGATTCTTTCAACTCTGAGGAGTTCAGTTTGAGTTGTAGCTACAGAAACATATGCCATATTTGCTGAGTACACTGGTATCGTTACCAGCTAGAGCAAGATAAGCTGAAGCCATACCAATCACCCTTAGAAGCCAGTAAAATAAATATATAGCATAGGACAGATCAGGATGAATGATCTACGTGGAACTTTTTAATCTGAAAATATTCCATGCCCTGAGTCTATCTCTGTCTTTTTTTTCCTATTATATTATTATCCCTCTGGCAAATAAAACAAACAAAAAACAAATAAATAGTAATAGTGTATTATAAGATTTAATACAGCAAACAAACTGACAGCATATTAATGTTGTTAATATTTTCATATGAAGTAAAAAACCTAAGCATAATTAAGATAGATCATTTTAGGAAAAAAAATACGCCTTGAACTTTAATCTCATTAAATAACAACGTCCAAGTAGCACTTGGCTTCCTTTTTTCCATTTGCTATGCCTCTTAGGCTGCCAGCAGTGAACAGTTGTCCTCAATCTCTGCTGGTTCCAAGACAACAGTTCTCATCAAGCTACCAACTTTGTCATTTCCTGTAGCTGGAAATTGCCTGTAAGACCCAGGCAGGAAACAGCTATTGTAGTGAAGACCTGGGTGACGTGCAGCTCTGAAGAAGTCACAGTCACTGGAAGTTCTCCAGTGGTGAAATCCGTGCACTGAATGCTGATGGAGAAAGAGACAGAAAAACTCACATGCACTGTGGTACCCACAACTACAACACCACACAGAATTTGCAAGAAGCCTGTACACATGCATGTAGTTACAAACAGCACACCGGCATGTGCTGCACTACATGTATCCAAAGGGAATACTAATAGAACACTATCAGATTAAAGAAACAAAACAAGCTTCTTTGGAGCAGGTCCAAGAAAAAAAATGAGTAACTGCTGGTTCTGACTTCTTTTAAACTGGTCATCAAAAGGAGAAATTCAGAAGGTCATCAAAAGGAAAAATAGAGAAAGTAAACCATAAACACACTACTTTTTATAAATAGAGTTAAATTAATGAATTTTAGAGCTCACGTATTTTAACATTTATATATACATACTTTTCCCATATTTATTTATTTTACATCTTTTTAGTTTACAGTAGTTACCTAAGTTATCTGTCCTCTCAAGGCAATAAAATTAAAATGCTGCATTAATGTACTGTTAACAGCAGAGAGCAAATGCAAATGAATTATTGTAACTAGTGTTATGGCAACTTAATTGTGTTAGGCTGGAAATGGACACAAATATTAAAAACTTTCTAATTTTTATTGTCCTATAAGAATAATTCATGAATCAAATTTATTCACAATTTGTGACTGTTCAAAAATCAGAACTAATCAGATTGCCTTCATTTGTCAAAAATCAAAAGAATAGGACTTCTAATAACTTCAGAAATGCTATGTTTCTATTTATGTACATAGTTCAAATAAGAAGTTACAAGATTATTACTTCAAATGTTCACATTTTTATGTCTTTAGAACAAGCACCAGGTAGAAAAAGGCAAGGATATTCAGAGACAAGATTTGGTAGAAATTTTGATTTGTTCACCTGCCCATACTCTTACATTAATATTTAATAACTGCAGGCTACTTCTGCATTTTCTTCACATAAAATGTACCACAAAATCTAATATTGTGTTCTTACTTATGAAACTAGTATATTGAATTTCCTTTAATTGAAATTATGTCCAATATTCTCCTACTGGAAAAACACAATCATAAACTACTTAAGCACTGTTTTTCACAGTCCATCAGATTCCAAAATAAATACTCCCCTTTCGTAGTCAGTGTAATACAATTTTACATACAGTTATATGAACATATGTATATGTTAACATTCTTAATTGATATCTGAATCCAAAAATGAAATGTTTTGATCTGAGGAAATGGGACCTTCCAGCTATAATTCCCAAGATCACCTTATCAGTCAGTATGCAGAAAATCTGAATTTCATCAGAATTTTTTTCCAGAAAGATAAGGAAGAAAATGTTCTTCTGTGGATCAAATCTCTCTCTCATCTCTTTTCACATCTCAAGGCTTCACCCAAAACAAAATAATCTATTACTCTGTCAAACTGACCGCTTATTTTTAAAATCATTTGCAATAATACCTCTCTTACAGACAGGTGGCAATATACAAGGCCCCCCATTTTGTCTCATTTAAGTTCAAACTTCCGCTTGGAGTACCTTATCCTCCATCAGCATCAATATTTCTTATGCAGTGTAAGAAGATGCATCTTCCTGTAACATACAGCTACATTATTTTGAAATGTCAATATAGCACTTTGTTACAGGACCTGTCCTCCAGCCACACAAACACACCCTCAAAAAACTTTTCCTTTACCTGCACATCAATGCATGACCTCCAAAACAGCCTCACTGCAGTTCAGGCAGTGAAAGGATCTCTTTGGAAAGTATCATCCACATCAGGTTACCAAAGGACACATCACAAACGTCATCTTGTTCAAGAGGTCTCAATTTGAAATACGGCTATAGACCTGCCCAAAATACAGGATATGTGGCTTCTATGGCTACATGGGAAAGCTAATACTTCTTCTGTTGAAGCTATTCCTTTTTCTTTTTATTTCCCAGTGGTTTTAATAACACTCTCATTTAAAATATATGGAATTATAGTACCTTCAATATAAGTACTTGCAGTTAATTTCTGAAATCTTTATGTGTGACAACATGTAAATGGTGTAAAAAAATAAAAAATATTATCTTAATTACTTAATGACTTGCAACTCTTAGTTGCAAGGAATTCACAAGTTATCACCAGAGCAAAACAAAACCTATTCAGAAGAAACTGTATTTTTGAAATGTAAGCTATATGGGGATATCAAACAAATAGGCTTTAAGTAAATTTGAAATTACTTAGAAAAAAAATGTACATAATGTGAAGAGACAGCATGTCTTCTGTGCAGCAGTCATTAAAGCATATTTAAAGGTGTTCACACGTTTTTATCTATACATTTCAACCACACTTGAATTATTACTTAAATAGAGATATCCAAGTAGAGGGGGAGCAGCATCATTCAAACAAGCATGAGAATGTACGAAATGCTTTAATTGCTGCTTTATATGGTGCACATTTCGAGAGTGGACAAGAATTAGCCTTGATCTTTTAACAACATTTGAAAATTTATTGATCTCAATCATACTAATTTCAATAAAAATTATCCTCATTATTACAAAACCTTTCAAAAATAACCAAAGACAACAGTTTAATTGGAGTGATACACTTTGCAACATATCTACTCCTTAGAGTAAAAAAAAATCTAACAAATAACTGTTACATATGGTTACTGAGTAAAAGATAATTAATTGAGTCTTTAGTTATGAAACCCTTAACACATTCATATACAGTAATTCAATATTAATTTTGTAAGTTATCTTGCTCGCACTGTGATACAAATTCTCTGAATTTACTGCAACTTTGCCAGAACTGCTCTGAGATCTGTATCTTGGAAAGACTGGTTTCTAACAATAAGTATTAAGATTCAGATTAGGAACCAGATTCTTAATTGGAATCTTGGACATTTTCAGAATGAAGTCCCATTTAACAGTTTGAATGGGAAGAAAATTTTTTCACTTGAGCTAAACTAAAAAAGTGAACAATGAAATGCGTGATAGCACAAACCCAGTTCTTCCTCCTATTACAACCAATCAGCTGGATATGAAAAAAGTTGCTACCCAGAAAGTCTGTGGTGCTCCCAATACTTTTGACATTCAGTTGCTAAATCACCAACACCCCTATGAAAGACAAGCTACACTGTAGTGTCTTAATTTCACTTTCTCACCTGTAATTTTCTTGAGCGCACTCTCTATAAGAGCTGACAACATGGAGCAGCGCAGTGCTATCCTCTGTATGATGAAAAAAGGAAACTAACATGTTGTCCACATAATGATGTCCCACATAAAAATACAGTATTTCTGTGCTACATGATTTAGGATTATGGTAGGATAGTGCCAAAACCACTTGGAAAAACAGTGCAATTACCATCTGACTCAGAAATGCTGGTCTTACCTAAATGTACAAAAAAAAAAAATCCAAAATGAAATAAATTTTTTCATTTAAGTAACACTCTTGTGGTGCAAATCTGCAAGACAGAATTCTAAATTGTCTGGACAAACATATTGCTTAAAAAAAAGTAAAATACACTGTTTAAATAAGCTAGATTCACATTACTACCATATTCCATTATTTCTATTAAGTGCTAACAAAATGTTACGAGGCAAATTAACAGAGAAGAAACCCATTTTCAAAACTCTACATCATCTCGGTTATACCAAATACCAAACATCTAGTTCCAGTAACTGACTTACTACGCTACTTAATGTTACCTGGGAGAAAAATGGAAAAAGAACTATTACAACCTGCAGTAGTCCTCAGGTATGCAAGAGGATGATGACTTACACTGCAGCATATAGAAACATAAATGTTCTTACAAAAACCATGTTGTTGACCGTATCCATGGAAAATTTAATCAGATTAATGCTTTTTCCTTGGCCTCTGTTGCAACCCACTTCTGAGGCAGGGCAACCTTGGGGGAGGATTAAAGCAAAATGATGCTAAATAACCAATATAACGACAAATTTAATTAAAATGTGCTTTAAAACCAAAACTGGAGAAAAAAGGTAATGGATTGGAAAAGGGGTGCGTAGCTCTTCTGGACTGTATGGTCATCTTAGGGGAGGAAAATCAGAAAGACAAAAATGGAGAAAAAGAGATAGGAGAAAAGAGAGAAAGATATCACCACCTGTGGCTCCAGGCACGCATGGGTGATCATGGTCTGTGGTCATGATACATAATCCTGGCCCATCAGAGGTGGGGGCCCGCAAACAGGTCAAAAATCGGGAGTTTTTCCAGTAATGCCCCAATCTCTCCTCCTGGATGAGTTCTGGGCATGTGCAGTCTTCTTTCCGGAAGATTCTGGAAGTCTGGTGGCATTGGGGGTTGGGGTGGGGTTCATGGTGTGTGTCTATGTGCCCGAGTGCCTGGGCAAAGTTTCTGAACAAAGTTTCTGAGTGGCTGCACAGTGGTGGCTGCCGGTATGGCAAAGAGACTGGCATTAAAAAAAAACCGCTACCTTGCCTCTACAGGATCTATTGCTTAACAGCGATTTCTTCTTTAATTTGAAAACAGCTTGCTTAAGGCAAAATTTAGCTGCAAGGTCCACGTGGTTCACTGCAGCCTCTCTGAAGGCAGAGGAATCCATATTATTTTACAACCTCTGAGATATCATCTCTTCTATTTCTGCCGCAGTTATACTACCCAAGTCAAAAGTCTACACACAAAAAGCTAGTAAAATATATCCAACTAGAGACAGAGTTTGTCACAACTAGGACAACCTAGAAAACTGGAAAATAGTTTCACTTACAACTAAGCAGCTCAGAAAACTAAGACTGATGAAGAAACTACAATAAACCTAGAAAATCACACCATTTCATAATTGAAATGTAAACAGGAAATTAATAAACATCAAATAATACTTTAACGTTAGATGTCAAAAAGCAGAAACACTACCTTTCTTCAGCTTTATTTTCAGCATGGAATAGGAATCAAATATTCTTACCTAGAGATACCAGTACTAGGTCAAAAATTCTTAAGCAGTGGTTTACTGATGTTTCTCCATATTAATCAGCACCATGCACCTGTAACTGACTTTATCTGAAATTTACAATCCATCTGGATTCCTCATTACTATCTCAGGAAGGATCCAACTCAGATGAAGCACGCTGTACTGTACCAGAAACACCGTTCATTGTTATTTTAAGAATTAGAAAAATCAAATTAATCTCAGAATTTGAGGTTTACTCTTGTGCTCTAAGTCATCTAACCACAGAACAATCACAGGAGCGATCACACTTATTAAAATATTAAAATTACCGGTTCTCGCTGTTCTCCTGGAGCCAACAGAACCGACAAGAATATACTTCCCAGATCATGGTCAGGGTAATGAGGATCCTTCAGACTCAAGGTAACATCTGTCTGCCTAGGAGACAAAAAAGTACACATTTATTTTGATTTCCATTATTTTGATATATTATGGATATATTTCACAGATAATGAAATTTCTGAATTATGAGAATTAAAGGCATCTCCATTTATAAGAAATTACTTAAAAACAGTGTCACAAATTTGCCCTATTTCTACTTTAAAGTATTTCTGTCTAAATGCTCATAAAAAAATACTAAATGGTTTTACTTGTTAAGTACTTACATGTACTGAAGAAATTAAATCAGAACTTTAACATTAATGGATTAAAAACCAGAAAAAAGAAAGTCAAACAGTAGGTGGTTATGCTGTGAATGAAGACAGCATAAAACCGAGATTAAAGTGGTTATAAAACTAATTGCTCCATAGACACTATAAAAATGTTGTTCATAATCAGCTAATACATAAGCATTCAGAATAAAGTACTTTGTGGTTTTCCTTGGTTAGTTTAGTAGGTTTATACAGAAACCCTGAGATTAGTTCAGTTATTTAGAGCATGGTGCTAACAACACCGGGGTTGTGTGTTCCATCTCCATATGGGCCATTCACTTAACAGTTGGACTCAATGATCCTTGTGGGTCCCTTCCAAACCAGAATATTCTCTGGTATAATTATTTTCTAGCATAAAGTTCTATTTGCAATTCCACAAACATGATATTAGCAGACAGCCATATAGAAATATTCTGTAGGCTTGTTTGTGCCATACCTGTTTAATTCCAATGACGTGAGATCCAAAAATGCTGAACCAATGAAGTCATCTTGAAGTCCGAAGTCATAGTCAAATACCTAAGATGCACAGGAGCATTTTTTAGTACTAGAAATCTTCTTTCTTTTGAGTTTTTCTGACTTTATGAATGGTTCTTGAAACTCCTTTTCCAGAGTTACAGCTTCATGTTTCTCACCTGTTAAACGAGGGCTACCTGAAAGCAACCTGAAACTTTCCGGCCAGAAATCAAGCTTGAAACTGCTTGTTTAAAAGTCAGACTGCATCATGTAGAGACACATAGTGGTGTATACTACTATTAGACTACATATGTGAACAACATCAATTTTATAAAAAAAAAAAAGCATTCTGATAAACATTGGCACTGAAAGAACGAAGATCAAAAGAATACCTAAAGTTAAGCAGAATCATTGATTTGCTATACATTGATTCCTTTATCAATTCTGCAAAATGGAAGCAGGAGGGCAGGATATGGTTATGAAAAGTGGGTTATTACAGCACTTGCATCAGTATTAGGAATAATATAATTGTACATTTTGAAGGTTCTATAATTTTCTAGGGTTAGAAATATTACAATCTAAGATTAAAACTTAATGGATACGTGTAAGGAAACAATGACATTTAATAATCTACTATGAGAACCCTGCCTGCTAATTTCCTACCTAAAGAGAGAGCACCTGGACAAATTTACTGATATCCAGACAGGAATCCGTGGCCAATACATTGAATAGTACAAGCTGAGATGGGTTACACCTTTCTAAGTCAGAAGAAAGAACAACAAATAAACTGGGGGCAGATTTGCAGGGAAATAAACAAGGCAACAAAAAAATTGTGACACAAAAAAATAAGGGAAAGTGTCAATTATCAAAATCTACTTTCAAGGTGAATTAAATTTTTTTTGGTAAGCATTGTCATGAGGATTTCTGAGGACCAGAATATACTTTCAGCTAAGTAAAAGTGCGACTTGTGAACATCTTGTAAGGAGAACCTTTAACTGAGCTATGACAGGACTAAGTTCAAGTTCTTCAATTTTAATGCAAATATTTCAACTATTGTATTACACTAACTCTTTTCCAGGAGGCAAAGAGGTTCATCTTCCACAAATACCATAATATGGACAGCGTTAAGACAGCAGTAACAGAAATCCTATGGCCCAAAGGCTACAACTCTGTTGCAGGACTCAAAGGGTTTGAATGCAAGTATGTGAGCACAAGCCCCTCACATGCCATCACCATGAAAGACAGTTTACTTTCGCTGTCCTTCTGCTAAGATCACACTAAAGAAATACAAAACAATGATGACCTCAAATAAACAAAAATATTTGTGGTATTTATCACTTTTTAAAATGTTGATATCATCATTCTACAGACATAATTTAAATAATAGTCTTTAGTAATACACTACTGTACAATAAACTTTTCAGCATACAAAAATCACAAAATTAAACTCTTTCAATAACTCTTCTGTTGTAATTTGTCCGACATATGTAAGATAGTGAGTGTCCTACCTTTATATACAATGGTTCTCTTGGGTTATCTATAAGAATGCAAGCTTTTTCTTCCCACACAGGATTGAGGTTCTTGTGTACTGTTTTACTTCTAAATACTTCTTTTCCTCCAAGTTTGAACTTGACATATGGATCACTGGTTCCTGTTAAAGACACATATAGTATTAATTATATCTTTGTAGTACAGTAAGGGAATGGAGACTAAATTACTTCAAACAGAACTAAAAGTAATTTCTATAGACAATCAAACCGAAAACAGCATCAGATGAAAGAATTTTTTATTGTCACAATCTGTTATTTTCCAGGATGTCATTACTCAGGTAATTGACTCTGTTAATATCAAGTGCTTGCATCACTTTCTGTTGTTTGCAATCCATTCCCAAAGTCACACATGAAATACTGGCTACTGCAGTGTTGGTTTTACTTAACTAAACTATGTCTTTCTGAAGGCTAGGATATTATCTTAATGCAACCACAAAAATTAGATTATATAGTTAAAATTACTCCTGTAAAACATTAATCTAATTATCTTGTGCCTTTCAAAAGGCACGTAGTCCACAGACACCACTAGTGTAACTTTTCATTGACTTTACTGTCTCCAGGCTTTCCTCTTCCATAAAGATTCACTTCCTACAACACTCACAACGAGAAAATCAACTCTAAAGTCAGTCCATAAAGTTCACAACATACTTCTTGCAGCAATCACCTACTCACCAGAGAGCACAGGCCTAAGCCCCCTGATACAACCAAGTAACAATTAACTGTGACCAGAAAGACAACTCTGAAGGGTACTGAAAGAAAAATGTTAAATATGGCATGAACAGAGAATACATGGAACTTGGACGTGGTGTCACAGGGAACAACTGGTGAAAGGAGGACTCTTGGGTGGGCATCGAGAATAGCAGTAATCCAAGAGCACATTTCAGACTAATTGATCAAAGACTATTTTAAAATAAACAATAACTCTAGCATGAATAACAGTTGTATCTTCATGAACAGCAGTAAAATTACAAGACAAGACTTTTTTTTTTTTACTATTAAGGCTTTTCACAAGCCTGACATATTTTAGAAGTTTGCATTTCCATCTACTGGGAAATACAGTCATTCACTTTTTTTAAAATTGCAACACATTCTTCTAAACATAAATTAGGAGGGTATGACTCCAGCTCTTTACATTATTTCATCCAGCCAGAAGATGTCAGTATTCTTTACCTAAAGTTTTATTTCCTTTTCAGAAAGCTATAGAGGTGGAAACCAGGGTCTCATATTTGATGGGGTTACAGTCATTTCCATCCACAATTACTGGGGCACAATTCAGTGGTATAAAAATGTTTTGTCTAGCACAACTAACTTGTTCCTTGGTTATTCAAGTAGTGGTGGTGATTTTGAAGGCAAAGATCAGGTATTTTAATTAATTCTCTGTAACGTGAAGAATATTTTGAATATAGACACCATGGCGTGGTGCACCCATCCCACTGCTCCTCGGGACCACTCTACAACCTCAGGAATCCTGTTAGGCCTTGGTCTTTGTGTAAAGAGTTTGGCAGTGAAGCATCCCTTGATTGTACCAGGAATTCTTGCATGACTAAGGTGGGAGAGGGCAAAATCAGTCATCGCCTGACAGCCTGCAGCATCTAAAAAGGCAGAAAAGGATATTAGCCTGTGAGTTGGAAGGGTTGAATGAGAGGCCTTTAAACTAGGTTTGAAGGGGGAAGGGGACAAGACTGGGCTCACTAGACATGAGCCTGGAGGCAGTATGCCAGCGTTGGGGGTGAAATCAATAGCCCAGCTGAAGTGCGTCTATACCAAGGCACAATAAGGGTAACAGACAGAAGGAGCTGGAAGCCACTGTGCAGCAGGAAAGCTATGCCATAGTGACCACCACAGAAACATGGTGAAATGACTGCATAACTGGAGTGCAGTGGATGGTCAGGAGCTCTTCAGAAGGGACAGGTGAGGAAGGAGAGGCAGTGAGGGGGCTCTCTACATTAAAGGAGTGTTTTGACTGTATAGAGCTCAAGGATAGTGATGATAAGGTTGAGTGCCTATGGGTAAGAACCAAGGGGAAGGCTAACAAGGCATTCTGGTGGGATTGTTACAGATCACCCAATCAGGTTGAAGAGGCAGATAACATATTCCAAGTGGCTGGTTGACATTTCATGATCACCAGACCTTGTTCTTGTAGGAGACTTTAACTTGACAGCTGTCTGCTGAAAACACAGCAGAGAGGAAGCAGTCTAGGAAATTCCTGGAGCATGTGGAAGATAACTTCCTGTTGCAGTTGGTAAGTGAGGCTACCAGGGTAGTACCCCAGTAGACCTGCTGTTTTGAAGAGAGAAGGGCTGTGGCAGATGTGGTGGTCAGAAGCCATCTTGGGCATAATGATCACGAAATTATATTTTTTACATACTTCAAGAAGGAAATCTTAAAGATGCAGGAGTAGGATGTCCCTACGTGCTGGAAGATGATAAACTGTTAGCTGAACAGTATTCAACAGTGAACACAGGGGAGCTTGAGACTGCTCTGCTATAACTTGAGCTAGTGAGATGGAAAGGACGATGTGAAAGCCTCCATATTCCTCTACAGTATTTCTGCCCTTCACTCCATGTAACAAAGTCAAACTACTGCTGGAATGATACAGTTTTTCTGATATTTGGTTTTAATATACAGTTTTAATTAAACTTTTAATTAGCTGTTTTAATTAATCCTAAATTGTATTAGGCCTCATATCATTTTTAGCCAGCATATAGCAAAAATTGTTATAAGCTACTTTTGTGAGAACATAGTTTGGGAAAAGTACTAAAACTGTAAGTTTTGTTAAACTAACTTGGATGCGCTTCAATGAACAAAGCTCGAGAGAGAAAGATGTATTGTTGGACATGTGGAATGAACCACCAAGGACATTCTGCAGAAACCAGCAGAAAAAGAAAAGAATTAACAAAAAATTCAGTACATGTGCTGGAAGGTTCCTACTGGAAGAAAAAAAATACTAAACAGACTAAAGATGTGGACTTAATTAGCATAGAAAGCAAGAAATTAATAACCAATAGAGGGTAGAATAGTAACTAATGAAAGATAATTATGTAATTAAGAACCACTGAATAATAATTTGTTTGTCAAAAATATATAAACAGGTGAAAAAGTAATGTATTGGTGTCCATATGGAGGCAGGATTTTTGCTGGCCACATACACACCCGATGCTGCAAATAACGTAATGTCTTGCTTTCTAATACTAAAAAGACAGTGTTTGAGGGTTCTATTATTCCCCTAAAATTTTGGAGGTATTCGGCAACAATTTCTAGTGACTCCACTGAGACAAAGCTTTTCACTTGGAAAAATGGGGAGACCTCAGAGGAAAGAGAGGAAGGGAGAAAGAATGCATGCTCAAGGAAAAAGAATGCATGCTCAAGGAATCCAGCAGGGGACAGCAGATGATCATTTTTGATCCACTAACTTGGCAGAATGTTAAAAATTAAGTTTAAAGGAAGCTACTAATCAGTTACTAGAGATCACACATATGTGGAATGAACGACACTATTCCAAAGGCAATTATGTTATTAAAATTATATTAGATAAAGCACAAAGGGAAGGCACCTCCAGCTGACACCTAGACACTGAGGAATGAACCGCTGATTTTAAACAGGGCAGTTTATTTTCTTCTCAATACATGCAAAAGGGCTCTGAGCCAAAATATTGTAAATGCCACCATGCAACTGGGAAAGCAAAACTTTGCCATTTTTTCCAACCTTTAAAAATTCCAGATAGGTGAACAGTGGTTAACACATCAATTTCTATATATTGGGCCTGAATGCCCAATGGTTTTGTTAGGAAGAGATAATATTTGAAAATGACAAACACAAGTATCTAATTTTTTATAATGAAATGGTGTTTGCCCAGGATTTTGTGTTGTTACAACAACCAAACACAACAAAGGAAATCCCAGAAGAGGTGGAAAAAGCTGTTACTCCATTGGTGTGGGCCTCTGGAATTCCAGGGAGATCAAAAGCAGCAGAGCCAGTCAGAATACAACTGAAACCAGGCATCAGATTGGTATGGCAGAAACAATATCCTTCGGAATTAGAAGCTAGACAAGAGTCAGAGGAATTAATTACTAAATGTGTGCAAACATGGATACTAAGAGAATGTGAGTCAAAATATAATACTCCCATCTTACTAGTAAAAAGCCACATACTAATGAATACAGACTAGTACAAGAGCTATTAATAATACAAGTGCAATACACCTACCCAGTGGTAGCAAATCCTTATACACTTCTAACCACAATTAAGGTATCTAATGAGTGGTACACTGGTTTGGATCTTAAGGATGCTTTCCTCCACACACCCTTTGCAACTGTAAGTCAATCTTTGTTTGCTTTGAATGGGAAAGTCACTAGACAGGACGTAAAACCCAATCAACATGGACTGTCCTCCCACAAGAGTTCAAAAATAACCTCACTTTGTTTGGAAATCAACTGGCAAAATAATTGGAAATATGGAAAAAGGAAAATGAAAAAATCACATTGGCTGCAGTATGTAGATGATATACTGATAGCCACAGAAGTCCAAACCAGATGTACTGAAATGATTATAAGTTTACTAAACTTTCTGGGACAAGCTGGTTACAGGTATCCAAGAAGAAGGCCCAAATTGCCAGACATATCTGGGATTCACCATTTCTAAGAGACTGCAAAGCCTCAGAATTTAAACAACAGAGATGATTTGCCAAACTCCAGAGCCAAGGTCTGTATGTGAATTAAGAATATTTTTAGGAATAGTTGATTGGTATCAGCCACGGATTCCTAGTTATGGACTTCTGGTAAGAGTTTTATATGAGGCCCCAAGAAACCCTAAAGAGATACTACAGTGGACTCCAGAATGCCAGATGGCTTGCAAAGACTTACAAAGTGCTCTAATGTCAGCCGCTGCATTAGGATTACCTGGCTTGGCCAAACCTTTTGAACTGTTTGTGCATGAACGCTTATACTTTGCATTAGGAGTGCTAGCTCAGAGACTGGGGGCATGAAAAACGGCTGTGGGATATTTTTCCAAGCAATTGGGCAATGTAAGTGAGGGATATCCCACCTGTCTTCCAGCTGGAGCAGCAACTATACTTTTAATACAAGAAGTCTGGAAATTGACC